CAACCAGCAAAGCTCTTGTGCCGCCATGGCACCAGCGTAGATCTCTGCCTCTACACTGGACGAAGCCACAGACGACGACCGTGTAGACCTCCACGACACAGCACCAGCACCCATACTGAAGCAGTAACCCTGAGTCAAGCGCCGAGTCTCCACGTCGTCAGCGTAGGAAGAGTCGCAGTGACCGGTCAACACAGCTGGCTGGGTCCCTCCAAGCACAAGCCCCATGCCTGATGTAGTCGCCAGGTACTTCGCCACCCTCACAGCAGCTGTCCAGTAAACAGGACGGTGTCTCCCAGTCGCAACAAAGCGAGAGAGGACGCTGAGGGGAAAGGCGAGGTCCGGCCGAGTACAAGTCATCAGGTACATGAGGCAGCCCACAAGCTCTGCGTAGGGACCACTAGACTCAAAGGGCTCGTCGGGAAAAGGGCCAGTGAGTCGGTGGTCAACGGCAAGAGGAGTGGGCTGTGTGGTGGAGAACTGAAACCTGAACCGCCGAAGGACCTGCTGCACCATGTGCGACTGGGTCAGTGTGATGGTGCGAGCGGCTCTGTCCCTGGTGATCTGCAGGCCAAGGTAGCGCTGTAGTTCACTGAGGTCAGTGCACTTGTGTCTCTTCTGCAGTTCGGATTTCACCTCAGTCAGAGCTGCCCTGTCTGCTGTAGCAAAGACCAAGTCGTCGACGTACACTACTATAAAGAAAGGAGTGGAACCAGTGCGAACAAACAGCTACGGGTCAGCAGAGGAAGGACGAAACCCAAGGTCACGAAGCGTGGAGCGAAGAGTGTCATACCACTCATGGGGCGACTGGCGGAGACCGTAGACTGGTCGCCTCAGGCTCCACTGGGTCCCAGGTGGGAAGGTGTCAGTGAAGCCAGGAGGACGGCGCAGCCAGATCTCCTCGTGTAGACGGCCCTGGAGAAACGCAGTGGAGAAGTCGAGGGAGTGCAACTCGTAGTCTTGCTGTGCTGCTACGTGCAGTAACACCCGAAGAGTAGTCATCTTCAGGGTCAGGGCGAAGGTCTGGAAGAAGTCAACTCCCTCACGCTGACTGAAACCCCTAGCCACGTAGCGCGCCTTGAACACAGGCGGTGAACCAGGCGGCCGCTTCACCTTGAAGAGCCACATGCCATCGACAATGTTCGCCCTGGGAGGGGGAACTGCGTCGACGTACGTGCCAGTGGATCTCCAAGACGCTAACTCTGCATCCATAGCCGCTTTCCACTGAGAGGCCCACTCCCCTGACGCTGCCTCACGGTACGTGCGAGGTGTCGGTATGTCAAGGGCGTCGGGGTCTCCCTCAAGGGAAAGCAGCATGGCGCAGAGAGAGGGGGAAGCGGCTGCTAAGAACTCCAGCTCAAACGGCCTGTCCTCTAGGACGTCACAGCCAAGGGCAGACTCACCCCCGACGGACAGAGGACGGGGAGGTGGAGCAGCCACCACACGCGTGGCGTAGTCAAGACGGCCGGTGGAAGCAAAGTCAGCGACAGCGGCAGTAAGAGCCGAGACAAACGACGGAGAGGCACGAGGGTCGGTCACAAGAGAGGCGAGAACACGAGAGACAACAGGGCGAGCAGCACGGTAGTAGTCAGTGATAAGGTGAGAGGAAACGGTGAGAGACGAATCAGGATGTGAGGGTAGAACAGACACAGGCGGAGAACGACGAGGAGGAGAACAAAACAAGACGGTGCGGAGGTCGGCAAGAGGAGACGAGGGCCGATCACGCGGAGGACAACGACTGGTCCAGTCGTGCGGGACAACAGGAGGAGACGACTGTGACTGAGGAGGAGAGAAAACAGCCGGAGCCGAGTCCGGAGGAGGAAACGTAGGGCCGTACGCGGTGGGAGACGGAGATGGGATAGGAGGAGCAGAGGGAAGACCAAGGGCCCGAAGGCCACTCACTGGTGGGAACAGCTTCTGCAAAGGTGGTGGCTGCGGCGAACGCTGCTGCTGCTGCTGGTCCAACCGCTGCAGCTCCCGCCTCTCCTGCTCCAACCGCTCCTGCTCCTCGCGCTCAAGTCAGCGAAGGGCCTGGAGACGTGTGTCGTGGCGGTGGGGAGGCGCAGTAGTCGTGCCTCCAGCTCCTGTCTCCTCAGTACTAGCCCCTACAGCGTCAGCACCTCCTGCTCCAGCACCCCCAGAACTAGCACCTCCAGTGCCAGTACCTCCAGCACTAGCACCCCCAGAACTAGCACCTCCAGTGCCAGAACCTCCAGCTCCAGGACCCCCAGACCGAGTACCGCCAGCGGTTGCACCTCCAGCTCCAACACCAACCGAGTCCACAGTAACCTGTTGCGGAAGTGCCGAAGGCTGCTGAGGGGACTGTGAGGAGGGTTGCGGGGAGGGAGACGCTACCTGACGCACGACCGAGGGTAGAGGGGTAGTGTGAGACACACCTGACGGCGCAGGACCAGGGGGGGGGTGGGGGTACCGGAGGAGCGGGAGCAGGGGGAAGAGAGGGTGCGAGGAAGAGGGGGGGAGGGGGAACCGAGAGACCTCGACAGGGGTACCGGGTGTAGTAGGACACTGACTCGTCAAACCGGACGTCACGAGAGTCTAGAAACTGGTGGAGGGGCGGGTGGTATATGGAATAATCGGGAGAGCCCACCGGGAACCCAAGGAAGACACAGGGGATGGCGCGAGCCAAGAGCTTGTCCGCAGAGGTGTCGCGGACAAGCGCAAGGCAGCCCCAGACGTGAAAGGCCGACCCAACACCAGGGGACCTAGTCCAAAGACTGGTCGGTGAAACCTCCGGCCGCGAGACACGCGGCTGGAGGTTCAGCTTACGCGGCGTACCGCAGCGCGTAGGGCCACAGAAAATGCGGCGCACGGGCATGGAGCATGGACGTGCAGGCGATGTCCATGACCAGGCCAATGCGGCGCTCAGCAACTCCATTCTGCTGTGGGGACTCCGGCAGCGTCCAGGACTGTCTGATGCCCTGCTCGCCGCAGAACCCAGCAAGGACGCCGGAGCGAAACTCACCCCCACGGTCGGAGTGGAGACAACAGACACGACTACCACGAGTGTCCTCAGTGGCCAGAAGCCACCGGATCAGCGTAGAAGTCACCTCGGACTTCTTCGCGAGAGGAAACACCGTGGTGTACCTGGAGTAGTCGTCAACGACCACTAGAAAGTAGCGCTCCCTCTCAGGTCCCAGCGTAGGGGCAGGGCCCCAGACGTCCAGGTGGAGAGTCTGGAAGGGAGCAGTGGCCGGACGAAGGGAGGAGGAGTGCGGAGTGGCGCGCAGGCGGCCGGCGACGCAAGGAGTGCAGGGTGGGGCAAGCGAGGGAGGAAGCGACGGAAAGACTCGCGGGAGACCTGAGACAAGACTGTGACTGGCCAAGCTGCGGAGGCGGGGGAGCGACAGGTGGCCAAGGCGGTGGTGCCACAAGACGGTCGGGTGGGCGAGGGACCGACAGAAGCACGACGCAGCAACCTGACCAGGCACCTCTACCTGATCAGACACAACAACCGGACTAGACACTGGGACCTGAGGGGACACAGCGACGTGAGCGGAAGAAGCAACCGGGGAGCGCTCGGTGTGGAGAACGTAGAGACCAGAGCGGGACTCCCTGGTGAAGGTGGCCAGAACAGCACCTGTGGCGGCGTCTGTACAGACCGCAGTCATCCCACCCCCCACAAAGGTAACGGTGATCCCCCTGTCCTGGAGGTATCCAACACCCACCAAGTTCCGATTGAACGAGGGGATGTGGAGGCCGCGCAGGACGCCAGAGGGGACCACAGGGCACGGGAGGGTGGTGGAGCTGCCGAAGAAGGATCAGCCAGAGCTCCCAGAACCGGAGCAAGGAGTGGTGTGAGGGTCGTGTGGTCGCGGAAGAAACACTGCGACGCGCCAGAGTCCAGCGTGAACGACAGAGACGCCTCAGCCGGAGGCGTGTCAGGTCCGGAGGCTACACAAGCACCTAGAGCAGAAACACAAGCACCTAGACTAGAGAGGCACAGGTCTACACTAACAGGAGGCAAGCATCCTAGACTACGAACACGCGAGCACACAGATCCATCAGCACTATAGTCAACATCAGCATACAAAGCATACTGACGAGCATCGTCCATAGACAGTTCAAATACAGGAATCTTACGGGCTAGCAGGCGAGCCCAGCGTCGGGTGGTTGCCTCAGGACCCCAGCACGCACGGTAGAGGTCGTCGAGGCGGCGGAAGCACCGCTCCGCAGAGTGGTCGTCGCGGCCGCAGACACAGGGACTGCCCGGTCCGGTGATGCACCAGTGGTCGCAGGGGCCGGTGTCGCGCCGCGGGGGGCGAGGGGCCCAGCTGGTAGTGCTGCTGCTGCGGCCAGTGCTCCCGGGTCCTCCAGGTCCCCACTGTGGCGGAGGGCCCCAGTGCTGCTGCGGACCCCACTGCAGTGGGGGTCCCCACGACTGAAACTGCTGTGGTGCCTGCCACTGCTGCTGTCCCTGCTGCTGCAGCTGTCTCTTCTGTGGCTGCTGCTGCTGTGGCTGCTGCTGCTGGGGCCCCGCGCCACCGTTGGTCGAACCTCCTCCAGCAGGTGGGTCAGCACCTCCTCCAGGGCTCCCTCCGCCTGGTGCACCACCTCCGCCGCCACCACTGCCGCCCCCAGCGCCGCCTCCACCACCGCCACCTCCTCCACCGCCGCCACCCCCCTTCCCCCCTTTCTTGCCGGCCTTGCCCCGTTTCTACCTGTCAGCGGCAGAAACAGCTGCAGTGTCCTCAGAGACCAACACAGCAGCAGAGGCACGAGTAGCAGTGAAGGAGGGAAGCTGGGGGGCAGCACACCCCTCAAACAGACAGGGGGCGACTGCGTTAGTGGCCGAGGCAACAGAGAGGAGGTTACTCTCGATCTTCCCGAGAGTGGTCTCGAGAAGATCAATCGTAAGGTCACTGGGGTGCTGCTGGAGAAGCGCGTCACGGGAAGTGGAGAGGCGGTTAGGGAGACGAGTGACTATCCAGTGGACTGTGAGCCAGATAGGAGGGGGAGCAACAAGAACCTGAGTGTACACATTCTTAAAGCCGCCCCTTAGTGGCAGCATCGATGATCTGCGCTATGAGCGGCTGGTGCTGCGTGTACACATTCTCCACGCCCTGGGGGAGGAGAGGGGGGGAAGAGGGGGGAACAGGTGGAAGGGAGAGGTAGGGGGAAAGGGCGCCTCACTCAGTCGCCCCTTGGTGGCAGCGTCGATGATCTGCGCTATGAGTGTCTGGTGCTGTGTGTATACATTCTCCACGCCCTCGGATGAGAGGAGTGGGGTGAGAGAGGAAGGCAACAAGGGACAAGGGAAGGCATAGGGCCGTGCTTATGAAGCGGGCTATGGGCGCCTGGTGCTGCGTGTATACATTCTCCACGCCCTAGGCAACAAGTGAAGGCGTGGAACAACAAGAGACAGAGGAAAAGGGCGAACGGACAGGGCAGCATCAATGATCTGCGCTATGAGCGATTCAGGCTATCTGCGTAAGCTTGCTAGAAGCAAGCTCCATCCTATAAGCATCTTCTATTTCCGCTTCAAATTTCAAGCCACCATATTGAGACAATCCCTGCTGCCATACAGGTCAACCAATCTTCTCCACTCTTTCCCAAAACACCCCAAGTTATATCCTCTTTATAAGCAGCTCCCCCACACACTTACCGTGAGCCCTCGTTTCACATTCCGAGCGACCATATTGAGCAATCCCTGCTGCCATACAGATCAGCCACTATCCACTCTCCTCCCAGACTCCCAGTATTACATCCCCTCTATAAGCTGCTCCTCACACATGCTTACCGTGAGGCCTCGCTTCACATTCCTGGCTACCATATTGAGCAAGTCCCTGCTGCCATACAGATCAGCCACTCTCCTCTTTGATCCGAATTGGCGCAGAAGAGTGTATACAAGCCGGCGCGCACATGAAGCAATGGGAGGGTACGAGACAGAGGGAGGGATTGCAGCAATGGGTGGGTCGAAGGGAGTGTGGTGTATCCATGCTGTCGTACAGATCCGCGACGCTCCTCTTTGATCCGAACTGGTGCGGAAGAGTGTATACCAGCTGCGAGGCACGTGAAGCAGTGGGAGGGTACGAGGCAGAGGGAGGGTGCAAGGCAATGGGTGGGTTTATTGAAGGAGAGGCGACGGGTTGTGGAGCACCCCTACTGCCATTCCGATCCGCGACTCTCCTCTTTGATCCGAACTGGCGCAGCAAAGTGTAGACCAGCTGGCAATGGGTGGGGTGACGGGAAGAAAAGACTTGTGAGGGAGGGAGAGGCGAGGGGATGTGTTGCACCTCTGCTGCCGTACAAATCGGCCACTCTCCTCTTTGATCCTAACTGGCGCAGCAACGTGTAGACCAGCTGCCATGTACATGAAGCAACGGGGGGGTTCAAGAAAAGAAAGGACTTGTGAGTAGAATCAAACGGAGGAAGAGTCGAAAGGACTTGTGAGTAGAATCAAACGGAGGAAGAGTCGATGATGTATACTGTCGGCTTGGACCCCTGCTGCCGTACAAATCAGCCACTCTCCTCTTTGATCCGAACTAACACAGCTGCGTGTATACCAGCTGCCAGGCACGTGAAGCGATGGGGGGTATGAAGCAGAGAAAGGATTGCAGCAATGGGTGGGTTGACGGAGGAGAGGCAAGGAATTCCTTCCTACGGCCATACAGATCTGCCATTCCTTATCCTCCTCATGTCGCAGTGCATACAGCATCACCAGCCTCCCACCCCTCCTCACCCCTCCTCACCCCTCTCTCCCCTCCAACTCACCCCAGCCTTGTACTTGGGATTGCGGCACACATCACTGAACACTTGGTCATCAGAGCCTGCAGGTGCCACGGGCTGTGCTGCTCCTTACCCTCCCACTCAACCCCTCCTCACCCTCCCACTCAACCCCTCCTCACCCTCCCACTCAACCCCTCCTCACCCTCCCACTCAACCCCTCCTCACCCCTCTCAACACCCACTCACCCCGGCCTTGTACTTGGGGTTGCGGCACACGTCACTGAACTTGTTAATCAGAGCCTGCAGGTGCCGCGGGCTGTGCTGCTCCTTACCCTCCTCCCATGCACCCCTCCTCACCCCTCCTCACCATACCACACACAGTTCCTCATCCCACTCCCCCACTCCACTCACCCCAGCCTTGTACTTGGGGTTGCGGCACACATCGCTCAACTTGTTGATCAGCGCTTGCAGGTGCCGTGGGCTGCCCTCCTCATACCGCAGGGCATACAGCATCACCAGCCTAAGCTTATCGACATCGGCAATATCTTGAGACGCCAGCTTTGCTGCTACTGCCTGGTGGTGGGTGGTGGGTAATGGGTGGGGGAAAAGAGAGTTGACTTCGGGCTATTCTCCTCATATCGCAGGGCATACAGCATCACCAGCCGAAGCTTATCGACATCGGCAATATCTTGAGACGCCAGCTTTGCTGCTACTGCCTGGTGGTGGGTGGTGGATGGTGGGTGGTGGGTGGTGGGGAGGCGGGGAGGAGAGCGTGAAGGAGAGGAGGGGTGGGATGAAATGTGTTCCTGGAGGTGCCGCGGGTTGTCCTCTTCGTACCGCAGGGCATACAGCATCACCAGCCTTAGCTTATCCACGTCTGTTATGTCTTGAGATGCCAGCTTCGCTGCTACTGCCTGGTGGTGGGTGGTGGTGAGGCAAGGGAGAGGAAGGGATGGAAGAGAGGAGGTGCCGGGGGCTGTCCCCTTCGTATCGCAGGGCATACAGCATCACCAGGCGCAGCTTGTCCACATCGGCAATATCTTGAGACGCCAGCTTTGCTGCTACTGCCTGGTGGTGGGTGGTGGGTGGTGGATTGTGGGTGGTGGGTGGTGGATGGTGGGGAGGCGGGGAGGAGAGCGTGAAGGAGAGGAGGGGTGGGATGAAATGAGTCCCTGCAGGCGCCGTGGGCTGTCCTCCTCGTACCGCAGGGCATTCAGCATCACCAGGCGCAGCTTGTCCACATCGGCAATATCTTGAGACGCCAGCTTTGCTGCTACTGCCTGGTGGTGGGTGGTGGATTGTGGGTGGTGGGTGGTGGATGGTGGGGAGGAGAGCGTGAAGGAGAGTAGGGGTGGGATGAAATGAGTCCCTGCAGGCGCCGTGGGCTGTCCTCCTCGTACCGCAGGGCATTCAGCATCACCAGGCGCAGCTTGTCCACATCGGCAATATCTTGAGACGCCAGCTTTGCTGCTACTGCCTGGTGGTGGGTGGTGGATTGTGGGTGGTGGGTGGTGGATGGTGGGGAGGAGAGCGTGAAGGAGAGTAGGGGTGGGATAAAATGAGTCCCTGCAGGTACCGGGGGCTGTCCTCCTCATACCGCAGGGCATACAGCATCACTAGCCGCAGCTTATCAACGTCTGCTATGTCTTGAGACGCCATCTTTGATGTTACTGCCTGGTGGTGGGTGGTGGGTAGGAGGGAGGGAGGGTGGAGGGGAGAGGGGAGAGGGGAGAGGGGAGGGGGGAAGGGGGAGGGGGGAGAGGGGAGAGGGGAGAGGGGAGGGGGGAGCGGGGAGAGGGGAGATGGGAGAGGGGAGGGGGGAGGGGGGAGAGGGGAGTGATTAAGATGCCAGCTTTTCTTCAACATGATGGGCGGTAGAGATGAGCCGGGTGCTATTACCACCACTCACTGCATCTCTGTCAATATTGCCACGTGTTGCCGTCTGTCTCAAAATGGTAGATTCTCACAACAAAACCTGCATGCCTCACCTCACTGCACCTAAGAATGCACATCTTAGAGGAGTTGCACGCTCCTCTAAGATGTGCACGCTCATGATGCATAATACTTTCAGGCGCTGTGTATTTACTGCACTCATTGCTTGCGCAGTGGGGATAACACTCGCGTCTCTCCCTACGCACCTCAAAGGCAGCGGTCTGCCCTGACGTGCATGCTAGCTCCTGCTCCACCTCACACACCGCCATGAGCTTTCCCCCCTTCAGCAATCTTGGGAGTGGGGGCACGTACCATACTCACGCCTCTCCCTCAGCCATACCTCAAAAGCAGCGGTCTGCCCTGATGTGCATGCCAATTCTTGTTCCACTTCAGACACGGCCATGAGCTTCCTGCCCCCCACCACGCACTGCAGCTCGGTCATTATCGCAACGTGCTTCGCCACATTGCCCGCCTGCCTGCGGTACTCGGGGTATGATTCGAGCACTGCTGCCATGTTGTCTGGTGGAGGGAGGGAGGGGATGGGGAGAGGGACAGCAGAAGGGGTCAACAGACCGCAGCAGCAGCAGCAGCAGCGCCACCACCACTAGCAGTACGTGCTTGGCCACATTGCCCGCTTGCCTGCGGTACTCGGGGTATGATTCGAGCACTGCTGCCATGTCGTCTGGAGGGAGTGGGGGAGAGGAGGAGAGGCAGCAAAAAGGGCTTAGCCAATAAGAAGAGAGCGTGCACCAAGGGGTCTTCGCCCCCAGTGCTGCTTTGATTTACTTTACCCCAGAATCAAAGCAGCACTTTGAGCGGGAATATACCCCCATCCCATCCCATCCCTAAAAGGGCATTCTGGGGCTGGGATGGGGGTATATTCCCGACCCAAGCTCACCTAGAATTGTCTACACGTGTCTCCTACCCACCCAGCGTCTGAATGCCTTTGTTGCGTCGGTCCTTGCTCTGCTAATCAGACACCAGCTTGGCCTACGCACTGCCCACGTCCCCAAAGATGCCTAGAGGTTAAGAAGTATTAAAATATCCTCAAAGCACACCCACCTAATGTCTGGATGCCCATTGTTCCGCCTGTCCTTGCTCTGCAGATCAGACACCAGCTTCGCCACGGCACTCCCAACGTCCCCAAAGTTGTCATACATGTGGCGCCCTGAATGCTTGCAACACCCACCCGCAGTGGGTGACGCACCTAGTGTTTGAATTCCCTTGTTCCGTTTATCCTTGCCCTTGTTCCTCTGATCCGCACCCTCTGATCTGCACCATCTGATCCGCACCCTCTGATCTGCACCCACCCAGGCTCTGAATGTATGGCGAATCAACCCACCTAATGTTTGAATCCCCTTGTTGCGCCCGTCCTTGCTCTGTAGGTCCGAGACGAGTTTCGCCACGGCGCTCCCCACGTCCCCAAAGTTGTCGTACATGTGGCGCTTGAAGAACTCGTCCTCCCCCGCTGCCACCACCACCTCCCTCTCATCCGCACCCTCCGATCCGCACCCGCTGATCCGCACCCTCTGATCTGCACCCTCTGATCCGCACCCTCTGATCTGCACCATCTGATCCGCACCCTCTGATCTGCACCCACCCAGGCTCTGAATGTATGGCGAATCAACCCACCTAATGTTTGAATCCCCTTGTTGCGCCCGTCCTTGCTCTGTAGGTCCGAGTCGAGTTTCGCCACGGCGCTCCCCACGTCCCCAAAGTTGTCGTACATGTGGCGCTTGAAGAACTCGTCCTCCCCCGCTGCCACCACCACCTCCCTCTGATCCGCACCCTCCGATCCGCACCCTCTGATCCGCACCCTCTGATCCGCACCCTCTGATCTGCACCCTCTGATCTGCACTCACTGAGCGTTTGAATCCCTTTGTTCTGCCTGTCCTTGCTCTGCAGATCGGAGACGAGTTATGCCGCGGCGCTCCCAACGTCCCCAAAGTTGTCGTACATGTGGCGCTTGAAGAACTCGTCCTCCCCCGCTGCCAGCACCACCTCCCTCTGGGCCGCACCCTCTGATTGGCACCCTCTGCCGGACACTCACCCAGGCTCTGAATGTGTGTCCCATCAAGCCCACCTAGTGTTTGAATGCCCTTGTTGCGCCTGTCTTTGCTCTGCAAGTCGGAAACCAGTTTGGCCACGGCGCTCCCAACATCGCCAAAGTTGTCGTACATGTGGCGCTTGAAAAACTCGTCCTCCCCCGCTGCCAGCACCACCTCCCTCTGATCAGGGCTCACGTTCGCCACGTGGCTCAAATCCACCTTGTTGATCTCTATGCCTATCAGCTCGTGCACCATGGCCTGGGGAGGGCAGGGAGGGGCGGGCAAGGGGAGAGTGGGCGATGAGATGAGGGGAAAACTTGTGCTCTTCTCCACGAGTGAGGACCCCTGGGACCTCACGTTGGCCACATGACTCAGATCCCCCTTGTTGCTCTCAATGCCTATCACCTCGTGCACCATGGCCTGGGGCAGGGGCGAAGGCGGACGGATGTGGGAGGTGGGTATCCGGGTCGTTCCGATTGTCAATAATTCAAGTCAGTCAATATAAAAGGCTAAGCATTATGACACGTTATTAACACACGCCAAGCATACCTGGTAGGTCCACTGGGTGAGTAACGGGGAAACCGGGTTGTCCCTCCTATCCACCACCAGCAGTAGCGGCAGGGCATCTGTATGTGCGTGATTGAAATATCCCGTCTGTCAGGCGAGTAAATCTATAACCAAGTTGTGGCCTTGCTATGATCCCAGGCATACCTGGTACGTCCACTGGGTGAGTAACGGGGAAACCGGGTCGTCCCGCCTGTCCACCACCAGCAGCAGCGGCAGGGCATCCGTGCGTCTGAAGTCAAAGAGGGGCTTCTCTGCTTCGTACATGATGCGCTGGGGGGTGAAGGGAGAGGGAAAGGAGGGAAGTAGAGGGGAAAGTGAATATGACAGTAATAAGCAGCGAGGAGCAGCAGCGGCAGGGCGTCCGTGTGCCTCAAGTCGAACAGGGGCTTCTCTGCCTCGTACATGATGCGCTGGGGGGGCAGACGTGGGGAGGGGGGATGCAGGGAGAGGAGTAAGGGCAGATAACGAGGGGGGAAGCAAGAATTACAGCAACCCTTCTTTCACTCACATGCCCACTCACCCCTGTTTCGTGCGCCACCCTTCTCGCCAGTTCTGACCCCCGCTGAAACCGTATCGAAGGGCGTTTCTTGAGGCTCAGGCAGAGGGCTAGGAGGGCGTCTACTGATCGTTCTGCTACCCTCTGCGTGTTGTGCAGGTCGACACGCCTTTCCTCTTCCCCACGCACCTCCCTTCCTTCCCCCCTCCCTACTCACCCCTGTTTCATGTGCCACACGTCTTGCTAACTCTGATCCCCTCTGGAAGCGGATAGACGGGCGCTTCCTCAAGCTCAGGCAGAGGGCTAGGAGGGCGTCTACTGAGCGTTCAGCCACTCTCTGCGTGTTGTGCAGGTCGACAGTGGCGGAGACGAAGGAGTAGACGTTGAGTGGCACGTGTAGGGTGAAGTGATACGCGTCCAGTGCGAAGAAATCCAAATAGTACTCCTGAGAGAGAGGGGGGGGGGGAGGGAGGGGGGGACAGGGAGAAGGAAGACAGGAGGAAAGGGGGAATGGGAGACGAAGGAGTAGACGTTGAGAGGCACGTGCAGGGTGAAGTGATACGCGTCCATAGCGAAGAAATCCAAATAGTACTCCTGCAGAGCGGGGGAGCGAGGGGGAGAAGGGGGATGGGAGGAAGGGGGAGGCAGAGGGGGAAGGGAGGGGAAGGGAGGCAGAGGGGGAAGGGAGGGGGAGGGAGGCAGAGGGGGAAGGGAGGGGGAGGGAGGCAGAGGGGGAAGGGAGGGGGAGGGAGGCAGAGGGGGAAGGGGGGGGGAGGGAGGCAGAGGGGGAAGGGAGGGGGAGGGAGGCAGAGGGGGAAGGGAGGGGGAGGGAGGCAGAGGGGGAAGGGAGGGGGAGGGAGGCAGAGGGGGAAGGGAGGGGGAGGGAGGCAGAGGGGGAAGGGAGGGGGAGGGAGGCAGAGGGGGAAGGGAGGGGGAGGGAGGCAGAGGGGGAAGGGAGGGGGAGGGAGGCAGAGGGGGAGGGAGGGGGAGGGAGGCAGAGGGGGAAGGGAGGGGGAGGGAGGCAGAGGGGGAAGGGAGGGGGAGGGAGGTAGAGGGGGAAGGGAGGGGGAGGGCGGCAGAAGGGGAGGGGAGGGGGAGGGAGGCAGAGGGGGAAGGGAGGGGGAGGGAGGCAGAGGGGGAAGGGACGGGAAGGGAGGCAGAGGGGGAAGGGAGGGGGAGGGAGGCATAGGGGGAAGGGAGGGGGAGGGAGGCAGAGGGGGAAGGGAGGGGGAGTGAGGCAGAGGGGGAAGGGACGGGAAGGGAGGCAGAGGGGGAAGGGAGGGGGAGGGAGGCAGAGGGGGAAAGGACGGGAAGGGAGGCAGAGGGGGAAGGGAGGGGGAGGGAGGCAGAGGGGGAAGGGAGGGGGAGGGAGGCAGAGGGGGAAGGGAGGCAGAGGGGGAAGGGAGGGGGAGGGAGGCAGAGGGGGAAGGGACGGGAAGGGAGGCAGAGGGGGAAGGGAGGGGGAGGGAGACAGAGGGGGAAGGGAGGGGGAGGGAGGAAGAGGGGGAAGGGAGGGGGAGGGAGGCAGATGGGGAAGGGAGGGGGAGGGAGGCAGAGGGGGAATGGAGGGGGAGGGAGGCAGAGGGGGAAGGGAGGGGAAGGGAGGCAGATGGGGAAGGGACGGGAAGGGAGGCAGAGGGGGAAGGGAGGGGAAGGGAGGCAGAGGGGGAAGGGAGGGGGAGGGAGGCAGAGCGGGGAGGGAGGGGGAGGGAGGCAGAGGGGGAAGGGAGGGGGAGGGAGGCAGAGGGGGAAGGGAGGGGGAGGGAGGCAGAGGGGGAAGGGAGGGGGATGGAGGCAGAGGAGGGCGGGAGGGGAAGGGAGGCAGAGGGGGAAGGGACGGGAAGGGAGGCAGAGGGGGAAGGGAGGGGGAGGGAGGCAGAGGGGGAAGGGAGGGGGAGGGAGGCAGAGGGGGAAGGGACGGGAAGGGAGGCAGAGGGGGAAGGGAGGGGGAGGGCGGCAGAGGGGGAAGGGAGGGGGAGGGAGGAAAAAGGGGAGGGGAGGGGGAGGGAGGCAGAGGGGGAAGGGAGGGGGAGGGAGGCAGAAGGGGAGGGGAGGGGAAGGGAGGTCAGGGAAGCCACCTGTTCTATCAACCCCTCTGCCTCTCATCTGCACTTGCACCTCTCTATTAGAAACCTACCCACGGCACCTCGCCCTGCCCTTGGAACAATTCTGTCCCTCACCTGCACTTGCATGCACCACTGCCGCTTGGGTCTGAGTGTGTTTGGCATTTACTGAAAGTGCACTCTGCCTCCTATTCACGTAACGTATCCACCCCTCTTCTCCTCACGTGCACTGCTCTTGCAACCATTCTGCTCTCACCTGCTGTGCCACTCACCTGCACTTGCACCACTGTTGATGTTATTTTTTGAGAATTCTCAAAAGTAACATCAGCATAGCTCTCACCTGCTCTGCCCTCTCACCTGTACTTGCACCACTGCCTCTTGGGCGTCTGCGTCAGCAAGAACGTGTATGAGCGTGTTGCTTTCTGTGTCGAATCAAACGCCTATCAACCTCTCTTCTCCTCACTTGCACTTGCGCCACTCTTCCTCTCTCTCACCTGCACTTGCACCACTGCCTCTTGGGCGTCCGCGTCAACAAGAACGTGGATGAGCGTGTTGTTCAGAATGTTCGTGAAGACTGAGAGAGGGGAACAGTGTCAGAAGAATGAAGAGAATGTGTGAACTAACAGCATGCAGGAGTACAAGTAGCAAACCCTAATTGGGTTGTACCCTATATGGGCTACCCCACTACAGCCTACACAACATGATAGTTTGACACACCCCCATAGGCAAAGTGGGGGACAACAAGCGGTCACAAGACTGGTCAAGAAAAGCAAAGCAAGCTCAGGGTGGATCATGAAGTCACCACACACTCTGAGCACAAGCAAATGGCCACAAGGTCAGTTCACATGCAGAGTTATATAATGGAGAGCAAGCAGTACAGTGATCACAACCTAGCAAGTGCAAGCATGCAGGTATAAGTATATAAATCACAGTACAAGCAAAGTCAAGAAGTGAGCAAGTGAGACCAAGTAGGCACAAGGCCTAAGACAGTACAGAAACGCTGATGATCACAAGGCTGAAGTGCCTTGGTGAATATATCAGCAATGTTGGCCCGAGAGGCCACGTAAGCAAGACGAAGTTGACCAAGCTGCTGCAACTCTCGTGCAACGAAGTAACGCAGAGCGATGTGCTTCGTCCTGTGCTCCAGCCTGTGCTCCTGACACAAGGCAATCATGGCCTTGTTGTCGACGTACAGAACTGGAGGAGAACGAGGCGGCTCTCCCAAGTCAGTCAGAAGGTAGGTAAGCCAGCATAACTCCTGTGCAGCCATGGCCCCTGCGTAGATCTCAGCCTCACAACTGGAACTGAGAACAGAAGACGAGCGGATAGACCGCCAAGAAACAGAGCCGGAGCGAAGGCTGAAAGTGTAAACCTGTGACGACCGCTGCGTAGCCAAGTCATCAACCCAAGAGGCGTCAGCGTGTCCAGTGAAGACAACTCGACCCCGTCCTCCAAGCACGAGCCTCATGCCCGACGTACTGCACAAGTAGAGCAACACCCTCTTAGCGGCCTCCCAGTGCTCTGGTCGGTGTCTCCCGGGCGCAACGTAGGGTGCCAGGATGCTAAGAGGGTAGGCAAGGTCAGGTCGAGTGCAGGTCATCAGGTACATGAGGCAGCCCACAAGCTCTGGATACGGGCCACTCGGCTCTACGGACTCGTCCAAAGGTGGAGCTGAGAGCGAGTGACCGGTAGGCAGAGGAGTGGACTGTGGCGAGGAGTACGTGAAGCGGAAGCGCTGAAGGACCTGCTGCACCATGTGTGACTGAGTCAAGGTAATGGTGCGCAGCTTACCCAAGTCTGTGCACGTGTGTCTCTTCTACAGCTCCGACTTCACTAGGGCCAGTCCCTCTGTGTCAGCAGTGGCAAAGTCCAAGTCGTCGACGTACACGAGGATGTAGAATGGCGGCAACGAAGTGTCGGTGCGTAGAAACAGCGACGGGTCAGCAGTCGAAGGAGCAAACCCAAGAGCCGCAAGCGTCGTCCTCAGTGTGTCGTGCCACTCGCGAGGCGCCTGGCGGAGACCGTAGACTGGCCGCCGGAGGCTGCACTGGGTACCTACAGGAAACGACTTAGTGAAGCCTGGTGGGCGGCGCAGCCAGATCTCCTCGTGCAGGCTGCCCTGTAAGAAAGCTGTGCTGAAGTCAAGAGAGTGAAGCTCGTAGTCACGCTGAGCGGCGACGTGCAGCAACACCCGAAGAGTGGTCATCTTCGAGGTAGGGGAGAAGGTCTGGAAGAAGTCAACTCCCTGTCGCTAACAGAAGCCTCGTGCAACGTAACGCGCCTTGAAGACAGGCGGAGAACCCGACGGCTGCTTCACCCTGAAAATCCACATGCCATCGACTATGTTCGCCCCAGGCGGGGGAACCTCGTCGACGTAGGTGCCTGTGGACTTCCAGGATGCCATCTCTGCGTCCATGGCAATCTGCCACTGAGAGGAGTAGGGACCCGTAATCGCCTCTGCGTAAGAGCGCGGGGTCGGGATGTCTGGTGCATCCGGTTCTCCCTCAGGTGCAATCAGCATGGACACGAGATGAGGTACAGCAGCTGCAAAACACTCAAAGTCCTCCTGCCTGTCCTCAAGGACGTCCGTGCCAAGAGCACACTCACCCCCGACGGACGGAGGACAGACATACTCGGACTCAGCAACAAGACTAGCGGCGTAGTCGAGACGACAGGCGGCAGGAAAGTCAACAAGCTCAGCAACTAGGGCAGGCGCAGCAGTGGACTCAAACGAAGGGTCAGTGACAACAGTGGCTAGAAGACGTGTGACAGTAGGACTGGCAGCACGAGCAAGGTCGGACGCAGGGTCAGGAACGTCAGGAAGAGAGGACGCAGGAGGAGACGGCAGAGGGACACGCTGTGGAACAGAGGAAGGACGAAGTGCCATATGGTGCGTGCCGGGGACAGGAGGAGGACGCTGACGCGGGACACGACGACCACTGCGAACAGCGCGAACAGGCAAGGCAGGACGAGACGCAGGCTCATGACGCTCTGTAAGACCTCCGGTCGTCTCAGTGTAAGGAGAAGGAGCAGGCAGTGGGGAGTCTGGCTGGAACTGTGGCTGCGACTGGTCAGGTGGTGGACACAGTAAGGGAGGAGTAAGGCCAGTAGAAGACGGGAGACCAAGAACTTGCTGAAGCAGTGGAACGAAGTACGGTCGCGGCCGAACAGTGCCTCCAGAACCAGCACCCCCAGGGCCAGCACCTTCATCTCCGGGGTCTCTAGCTCCAATGCCTGCAGCACCACCAGCTCCAGCAGCTCGAGTACCTCCAAAACGAGCACCTCTGGGACCAGCGGCTCCAGTACCTCCAGCAGCTCTAGCTCCAACTCCTGCAGCACCTCCAGCTCCAGCAGCTCCAGTACCTCCAGTACGAGCACCTCCGGGACCAGTAGCTCCAGCACCTCCTGCACCTCCACGACCAGCAGCTCCAGCACCTCCGCTACCTCCAGCTCCAACGCCTCCAGCTCCAACGCCTGCAGCACCACCAGCTCCAGCAGCTCCAGTACCTCCAGTACGAGCACCTCCGGGACCAGCAGCTCCAGTACCTCCAGCAGCTCCAGCTCCAACTCCTGCAGCACCTCCAGCTCCAGCAGCTCCAGTACCTCCAGTACGAGCACCTCCGGGACCAGTAGCTCCAGCACCTCCAGCACCTCCAGGACCAGCAGCTCTAGTGCCTCCTGCTCCATGGCCTCCAGCGGCAGGCCCCCCAGCTCCAGCAGCGCCACTCCAAAGGCTCCAGCGCCGAGCAAACCACTCGCGCAGCTGCGGTGGAGAGAGAGGCTCCCGCCGTGACGAGGCACCCAGAGGACCTCCAGCAGACAAAGTACCTCCAGTCTCAGCACGCTCAGGCTCAGCACCCTCAAGCTCAGCACCCCCAGGCTCCGCACGCTCAGGCTCAGCACCCCCAGGCTCCGCACGCTCAGGCTCAGCACCCCCAGACGCAGCACCCCTAGCACCACCACCCCCAGCAGCACCACAGTCGACAGCGACCTTGACAGGCTCGACACGGTCTACCTGAGACACACCTGAGGGAGCAGGACCCTGAGGGGGGAGGGGGTCTACCGGAGGAGGACCTGGTGCGAGGAAGAGCGGTGGGGGGGGGAGAGGGCAGTGCGGTAGGGGAAGAGACGGTAAAAGGGAACCGACTCGTCAAACGTGACGTCCTGAGAGGGCAGGACACGGCGCGAGGTGGGGTGGTAAAACTGCCAGCCAGGCGCGTCAGGGGGAAAGCCAAGGAAGATGCAGGGAATGGCACGGGAGGAGAGCTTGTCTGCGGACAAAGGCACGAGAGCCCCAGACCCGGAACACCGACGCATCGCCAACCTTCCCCGTCCAACGCAGTGTAGGCGAGGTCTCCGGCAAGGAGACACGGGGCCAGAGGTTGAGCTGATGCGCAGCGTACCGGAACGCAAACGGCCATAGAAAATGGGGGGCAGCCGCATGGATCATGGAGGTACGAGCGACCTCCATGACTAAGCCAATGTGGCGCTCAGCAACCCCATTCTACTGCGGAGAGGCCGGAAGCGTGAACGACTGGTGAATGCCCTCCCCACGACAAAAGTCCCGCAAGAGGTCGGAGGAAAACTCACCACCTCTGTCAGAGTGCAGACGCAGGACTGGAAGGTCCGCGTGGAACCGCTCACGGAGCTGGAGACGGACAGCGCGGATCCAAGGGATCAAAACATCAGGGACCTCCCCCTTGCTGCGCAAGGGGAAGACCGTGGTGTAACGCGAGTAGTCGTCAACAACCAGCAGAAAGTAGCGCTCGCGGCCCTGTCCTCGGACGCGGGCTGGGCCCCACACGTCCATGTGGAGAGTCTGCAGGGGAGCAGTCGTCGGGGGAAACGAGGAGGACTGAGGAGCGGCGCGCTGCCGCCCCTCGACACAGGGAAGGCAGGGAGGGGCATGCGAGGGTGGGAGGGGAGGCAGAGACCTGGGAAGACCAGAGACAAGGAGACGGGAGTGCATGCCACGGAGGCGTGGCACGAAGGGGTGACCAAGGCGGTGGTGCGAAGGGAGCGTCTGGTGCGACAGGGCGCGAC